GGGGGGGGGGGGGGGGGGGGGGGGGGGGGGGGGGGGGGGGGGGAATAGAAGAGTTGATCGTAGATGGGCTAATGACGATCAGCGAAAAGGAAAGAAATCACGGTTCAAGCCCAAGAAGTCTTATGCTCCGGTTCCTCATCGCGATAGCGACAGGAGCCAATATACCCCCTTGAATGCATCTGCTTCGGCCATTCTTGACAAATCAGAAGAGACCAGTCTGTTCGGAGAGCCCGAGCCCGAGCCCATGAAAGGTCCCCTTTCATCCAGAAATAGTAAGAAATATTATCGCTATCATCGAGACAATGGGCATCACACCGATGAGTGCCGAGCTCTCAAGCAAGCAATTGAAGACCTTATCAAGCAGAGGCATTTCAAAGAGTATATTGATGACTCTACTCCCATGAGGGAGAAAAATCAAGAGGAAACGAGAAAGAAGCGTCGTGATCGCAAGGGTATCTGCAGCGTGGGAGTAATCTTTGGAGGGCCGCACCTCGCAGGAAAGTCACGAGGTGCCCAAGAAAGATATGCTCGCGCAGCCCATCACGATCCCATCAGCATGATGAACATGGCGCAACGACCCCCAAAGGTTCCCAGAGAGGAGGAAATCACCTTTTCCAAGAAAGACACAATTCGATTGCACCATCCCCATGATGATGCTCTCATCATCACGCCCCAAAAAGGGCGCTTTGACGTCCACAGAATGTTGGTGGACAACGGAAGCACTATGAATATTTTGTTCCAGCCAGCTTTCGAAAGAATGAAATTGGATGAGGCCGACCTGAAGCCCGCCTTGATCCCCTTATATGGTTTTACAAGGGATCACCTGATCCCCAAAGGAACGATCTCGCCACACGCGATGTGCATGGCCATGGCTATCATGCACGCGTTCGGCGTGAGCTGCAATGGTGCGATCCCGAAATGATTGAGGACCGACCTGACAAAGGGGTGGAAAGGGATCAACCCCCCACTCTTGAATATGTTCTCGGAGATCGTAGCCATCCGTAGTGGCAGACTCCGAGTTGTGTGTGTCCTATCTCGGAAGACCTCCACGTTGAGAGCGTATTGGTCTACCACCCTTTGAAGCTCCTAGGCAGTAATTACCGATAAGATCTCTTGAGGGGGACCTATGGAGGCATCCTGCACGGGCGAACTGATCTCTTCCTCAGTTCTGGTCGTACGGGAGTCCATTCTTCTGCGGTCTAAAAAGAAAAGCGACATGCAGAGAATCACTCAATCTTCGTACACTGTTTCGTACGATGACGTGGAGGGAAAAGTAAATATTTCCTCCCTTGAACCTCAGTAAAACCCTAACAGAATATTTAAAAGCCACCCTCAATGGCTCTGACCCAAAGGAGAGTATTTCATCTCCGATCATTTACTGGCGGACTGTTATCGCATGGCAACCATTGAGAACAAAAAATAACAAAAGTAGGAGAGGGGAACCATCTTTACCTCTTGAGGTGAGGAGACTAATCCTTCTGCTTCGAGTATCAAGCGAACATTGGTCTGGAAGGCAAAGAACCAAGGCTCACGAAAGTTTCTCACTCTCTCTGAGAATGTAAGTATTGTGACTTTGCCTGAAAAGAGCTTGGGGTTTTATAGTGAAGGAAGTGGTGCTTGGTTTTCCCGAAGTCAAATGACGTTTGGGCAGAAAACGCATCTGACTGTTGATCGCGATCACGTGTCGCGAATCAGCGAGGAAGAGTGACCGCCACGCCTCGAGAAACCAGATAGTCATTCCCTTCCGTTGAAACACTCAAGCGACAACTCATTTCCCTCCACCACATTTAATGCGCTCACGTCCACATTTAATGCTCTGATGGGGAATGTCGTTTCAACATGGCTCCCATTAATGCGCATGGCTGGCACTTATTGGGCAAAAGACACGTCTGTCAAAACAGAAGGTGTTCCATCAATGCGTCAGTTGAAAAAGTGCAACGGATAACATCTAAAGAGGTCATTACATAAAACACTCTTCACCTTATGTCAGTCGCGAAGCAACGTGACCCTTCGAGCTTATCCTGTTAGTTGTGAAGCGACGTGAACATTTGAGCTCATCCCGCCAGTCACAAAGCGACGTGATCATTTGAGTTCATCTCATGATAGTTGTGAGGCGGCGTGACGTTTCGACATTGATGAGCATCGGTCGCGGAGCGACGTGACTCTTCACTCTTAGCAAAAGTTTCTAAGTGTAATCAGGACATGAAATTCAGTCCAGGTCGAAAACATCATATGGCACTGGGTACTTAAA